GGATTGCCGGGTAAAAAAGTACGGGATTCCTTGTAAAAAAAGTACGGTGTTGCCTGTAAAAAAAGTACGGTATTGTCTGTAAAAAAACGTTAACGCTAACGCTAACGTGAAAGCAGATGATACTACATTTAAATGTGTGGTATTTTTTTTCTCCATGATGAGTAGAAAAATTTGTCGATGACGAATGTGACATTTCGTGAATTAATTTGGAAGAGTAAACACTCGGAACTCTTCATTTGACAAATTTCTTACACATAATCATTCACGAAAATGTCAATTTTATTTTAACTTTTGGATATCCTAACGTGCCATTGTTTTGTTTTAAAACATGTTCGCAATGTCGGTGGCACACTCATATGTCGGATACCGCTTGTGTTGGGTATCATTTTCGTTTTTTCAAAGCGAGGATGCACAATTTGGTGGCTAATCACATGAATACTCAACACCCGTAAGAGTTGTTTTCGGTACTAGGGCGGGATGCCTCGCCGGACGCAGCGTGTCAGCCACATCTCCAAGCAGGGCCGGCCGGCCGAGGCCTGCGACACCCGAACCCGAGACGCTCAAGATAAGCAAGCATGAGTGGCGTGCACTGCCGACTGCCGGCGCGCCGCTTCTCGAGAGGGGAAAGGGGTTTTGGGGGGGGGGGGGGGGCAGTGCTATGCGTTCTACGCACTCAAGGTTCAAGTGGGTGGGTGTGTGTGGACTGTTGCGGGGTGTGGCGAAGCGCGGCGGGACGTGGCGTCTAGGCAGAGGAAGGGGCGCGGGGGGGCAGCTGCGCGATGAGTGCTAGCAGCGTCTCGTAACGAGAGGAAGGGGAGCGGCACCGCGCAACGTGAGGGACGCACTTAGGAGTACTAGATAGCTGGGTGTTGTCGAGGTTATACGCCGCGCGCGCAACCCGAGCCCCCGCAGCCGCGCCGATTCATGGTGCGGCGGGACCGCGGCGCGGTGCGGCACGCTGAGGGCCCTCCGCTCATAATCTTCTAGGCAGGCCAGCCAGCCGCTGCCTTGCCAGCGAGGCGCTCGGCCTCTTCTAGGCTTGCTTTTCAGGCAACGAGGCAACTGCTGCCTGGCTAGCCGGAAACTCGGTACTCTCTGCACGAGAGTACAAGCACGCTGATACGTGAACGTATCATCTGCTAAAAAACCACGGTTTTGCCTGTTAAAAAAAGTACGGTGAAGTCTGGAGTAATCAGTACAGGATTTACCGTGATCTTTTCTCGCAGTGCTGACTCATTCGCACTACTAATTGCTGGCAATCTCCCTGTGACAGGCGAACGCCACGTGCCCGCTGTGTCTGGAGGTGGTGGACCAACGTGTCGGCGTGCCGTACCACTGTCTGGTGTATCATCAAAGGGACGAGGCCTGTCCCCATTGCTGTCCCGCCCCATCAAGGACTTATCCAGCCCCCTGACCAGTTCCACCACCCCAAAGTCGGACGGCCTTGTCGCTCCGAGCTTGGGTGGTGCCCGGGGAGCGGTTGTGATCTTCCTTCAGCTCGTGGAGCGACTTCGTCCGGCACACCGCTAACTCTCACGACCTGGCCGTCTCGGACCGAGCCTTGGTGTGCCAACTCTGTTTGCGCGTTCAAAGGTCACCCAAAGCCCTCAAGAGGCACTCGGAAAGCACTTCGACACTCAGAAAGAGCACTTCTTGTGCGATATATGCCCGGCTAGATTTTTAAGCAAAACGCCTGTCGCAGCACATGAAGTGTTTCACAGGAAATAGGGGAATATGTTTATGTATATAGGTAATGATCAGTGTAATATGATAATATGATAATGGTTTTTTTTGTACAGTTATTTGTTTTTTAGGATGCTAGATCTTATTTCAAACCCGATCTGGTTTATTGTGAGGACAGTATTTTTCAAGTTTTGGACCTCAAGATTACTTCTTCGTTTAAGTCCTTCTGTGAGAAGAGGTAGAGCAGGAGATGCAGATCATTCGCGTCGCAACTGATTGACTGATTGTTTAGGTGTGTTCATAGACGGGCTGTTTCCTTTTAAGTTAATGTGATGATAAAACGTTATTTTTAGTTTCAATGAAGGCCTGTCAAAATCTGTCCTTTCGTCCTCCATTTTGAGGGGTGTATTATTTGTTCGAAGTACCTCATTCTCCCACGAAAGGGACGAACTACAGTGTTCACTTAAGAACAAAAACTGAGCTCCTTGACTTCCCTGAAACCCCCAAAAAAAACCTGTCAACCCCTTTTTATTACCAATTTTCGATCAATTCACCTTTTTGAAATTTTCGGGTTTCCCGTACTGGTTACAGGTTTACATCTCCCCAAATAAACCCGGGAAATTCCCTTTTCAGATTCGGGCACCGGGGAAAAACGTTTTATGGGGACCGATCCAGTCCCCGAAAAGAAAGTAATCCCCACTACAAAAAAGTTAATTTCCCAGGAAAAAAGGGAATTTGGCATTTAAGGGTTTTTTAATAACGAAAAAAATGCCCCCCATTTCTTGTAATCCAAAAAACCGAGTTCCCCATATATTTAAGTCTCTTTGAGTTGTGTCAGGGACCATTTCGACTCCTCTTAAGAGAACCATCCTACCTTACGCGCTCGGAAGCTGGGAGAATATCCTAATTCGTTTGAAGTAAATTTTACAGGGAGCACATTGTTGTGTCATAATTGTTAAATTCTGGTGTCAGAAGTCTCATTTATATCTAAAAGTTCCTTTCCACTGCTTAAACTCATGAACAAGTGGGGTCCCACACCATTTTAGTTTCTGGGTTATGCACGTTTATGTTAACTTTAAGTCGTTACTCCCAAATTCTCCTTACGACAAAGGAACAGGTACCCTTGCTTTTGGGTATTGGCAATAGTTTTGCACACGAAAAATTTAGTGCAAAAACGTTGCCCGTTTCAAAATTTCTCTCAGTTTTTCCTGTAAAATTTAGAAGACTAATATGTGTCCATGGATCAAATCTCTTGAATTTGAAGAAAAATGAATAGCTGTATAATTTCATAGCATTTACGGGCTATTGTGGGCTGATATTTTTAAATGCTCCAACGCTATGTTGTGCTTATTTCTCTGAAGGTTCATTTGCCGGTATCTTAATTCATCTTTTCTTTTTATTTCTCCTGAGGAAAACTTCGCATCTAAAACGTTAACTTCTATACAGATACTAATTGAAATTGCACTCCACGGAGTTAAGACCCCCATTCGTCCAATAGCGGTTGAATTTTAACCTCAAAATGTACTTCCGGTGTCAAACGTTTCTAGGACATCGTTTATGTGAACCGAGTATGTCCTAGAATTGTGTTAATTTCCCATGGGATCGCCTTTTTGCCTTTACTTTGTAAATCGTTCATGTGTCATGCTTTGTGTCAGTGTGTTGATAAGATTCTTCTTTGGTTTCTTCAGGTGGATGCGCCGTGTGATTTGTGCCCACAAATGAAGCTAGCTGACGGGCTGCATCGTCAAGGCGACGCGCCCTGCCCCTGTACTCGGTTCGCCGCCTCGGTGACGTAGCCAACCACACGGCGCAGTTCTTTGCCCAGACTGTCTTGCGGTGGAGTGTGGAAATCGGCTGCGGTCCGTCGTTGAGCTCATGGGAGGAAGAAGACTACAGCCAGCTCCGTGGGGAGCTGCCATTCTTGCGCCATTTTCTTCGTATTATTGCAAATTCCTTCGTTAGACGCATTTAGAGTGTATTGATGCGAAGCCTGGTATTGTATATATACTTCGCAAACGTGGTTGTAACAGCTGCTATGTTTTCTGTGCAGTCGCAGTGTTTTCTGTTAAGTTTCTGGCTTCTTCCGAGCCACTAGCTTACATTTTGTACTACTGTTCAAATCTGTTTAGTTTATGTACGTGTGTTGCCGCTCAATGTCAATAATGCTTCTTGTGCGGTCTAACTTTTCAGCGTCAAGTTCATAATTGTTCACTTTATTCACTTATTACGTAACTTTTTTTTTCCACAGCTCTGCCCTTGTCGGGCCTTACGGACTGACAACGAGAGCGAGAACGACGAAAGACGTCACGTTAAATGCGAATGAACCCTTGGATTATACCCTTGGAGAATCCCACGTTAATACGACAGCAGGTTTTCGTGCGTTAAGCTAAAGTCCCATTCGATGTCGTTGCGAGACCGGAATCGGGTCAATTTTAAGCGGAAAATTGCTGTGCGTTTTAATTTATGCCGCAAGAAGTAAGGAGTTTCGAGATCTCGCCTAGTCGGTTGGACTAGAAACACCAACACACCCGACTCTTCGGACTTTTTGAAATGCTTAACTATGCACTGGTTATGTTTATTTACGCATTCACTGGTACGCAAGGTGATTATAACATAATGCATCGTGTACATTTTATGCAGGAGGATGCTTAAAATGTATACAGTGATAAGTAATTTTAGACACACCTTACGTACGTATCTATGCAAGCATAATTGTGCAACATAAAGTCCGCTAGAGTTAAGAGTGCACCGATCTACACTCCCTGCAATACCGTTTGGGTGGAAAAGATTTTGGCTGTGTGAATTATCGGTCAACCCCGCTTAAGAGATGACGGTTTTAAATTCAATGACTGAGCCGTTGCGTTCTGTAATTGAAGGTGGTGGGCAATTCTTTTCTGAATTTTATGTCTTCTGCCTTGCCCTCTTGTAGTTACGCGGGTTTATCTGTTGCTTGGTTTGGATTTTGCATGCGTCAGCGGGTTGGAGATTTAACGGAATATTTGGAGCGTATGCGAGAGTGATGCTAGTGCGAAGAATATAGTCGTCTATTTTTATACGTACTTTAATATTTTGGTAAACTTCACGTTGAAAACGGAACCTGGTTTTCCCAGGAAGCCCATTGTGAAGATATAAGTAATTTCCAGGGTGTTCCTGGGAAAACCAGGAACAGTTTTTACCGTGTTGTAAACACTCAAAATATTTAGTCAAAATGCACATCTCTCTTTTATTTCTGAGCTTTATTTTGCCTGTTACTTTTGTGGACGGTCGAATGTCACTATGTCCGAGCTGTGAATGAAAGCTGACTGCCGGTTGTTGCTCTAGGTTCTGCAGAGGCCGCCACGGTCCGTATATCCGTTAGGAAGGATCTACACTCGGACTGCGCGCAAGGCCCTCTGCTGCCGACCGCTGCCCCATGCCCACTACATGCTGCCCCATGCCCACTACCCGCTGCCCCATGCCCACCACCCGCTCCGGCAGCGGAGCAGGTGAAGCTGTGCAAGTGCGGCGGAAAGGACAGAACTATCGGCTGGTGCACCTTCCCGCACTGTGACCGGCCTTTCCGGTCGTGGGAAGATCACTTCGAGCATCAGAAGGCGTGTCATATCGACAGGGCTCAGGTCAGTACAAGCCATCATCACTCGAAGTCGCTCTGCCAAAATTTGATTGTCACTTCATGGCAATGCCAAGGTTAATGTTCCTCTCCAGGCTGTCTGCAAAGCATTTGGTAGAATAGTTGTCGTTGTCACGCCCATTCAATGAGGAGCTTTGATGACAATTTCATTTGTTATGTGATGACATTTTCATCACTTTGTGACGCCAGTTTCGTCACTTTGTGACGACATTTTCATCACATTCACTGGTAGCCAACAAATGGGAGGTAATATTCATTGGAGTGTGAATTTTGTCACGTTCGTTTGAATTTGTTGTCACATTCGTTTGTACGAGACTGGGCCGTTTTAGTAAGGTGTCACATGACGTCATATTCAAACGAGCGTGACAAAATTCGCACACGAACGAATTAGACGTCACATTCGTTAGCTACCAATGTTGCGATGATATTTTCATCACTTTGCGATGACATTCTCATCTTTGCTTTGTGCCGACCTTTTCTTCTTTTTATCATGACATTTTCATCCATTTGCAAGAGATGGAAATGTCATCCACTATTTTGTCATTAAATGACAACAAATTTTCGTAGTGTGCTGGAAGCTGTTCACTTTTCTTTCCTGTGCTGAATTGTGCCTATCCATATCTGAAGTCCCCTCCGCTACGGAAATCTGCAAAGATTCACGGATATTTTGTGTCTTTTGACTGTGGGTCAGCCATCTTTTAGCATACACTCAAGTTGCAACTTTCCTTTTTGTACGAAACGTTTCTGGATTTTGTGCATCGTAACCTTCCGTTCAGTTTTGATGTGAAAATTTTGTGGTCGATCGCGTTCAAATTTGCACCTAATTGAAGTCGAACCTCACTCTGAGAAAAAATGACGGTAAATCCTGGATAATTTTTTTGCCAAACTTTACCGTACTTCAAAAACCAGTATCCACCGTACAGTCTACAGTATTTTCCGTACTTGTTTTACAAAATATTCCGTAGTTTTTTTTATCAGTAGTTACCGTTCTTTCGTACAGTGCATGCCGTAGGAAGGACCTGATCTGGTCCCAACAAAGGCCGCTCCCAAGAATTGTCCACATCAGGATCTTGAAAAAAGGGGGTCGACCGACTGAAAAATTTTATTGCACCTTTCGATAGGTCTCGTCAAGACCTTTTCAACGAGTGGTCGGAAGGGGGGTCCAGGAGTCCGACTTCAGCAGTTATGTACATCAGAATCTTAAAAAACGAGGGTCGACCGACTGAAATAAATTATAGCAGATTTTGATAGATATTAAAAGTACGGGATTGCCGGGTAAAAAAGTACGGGATTCCTTGTAAAAAAAGTACGGTGTTGCCTGTAAAAAAAGTACGGTATTGTCTGTAAAAAAACGTTAACGCTAACGCTAACGTGAAAGCAGATGATACTACATTTAAATGTGTGGTATTTTTTTTCTCCATGATGAGTAGAAAAATTTGTCGATGACGAATGTGACATTTCGTGAATTAATTTGGAAGAGTAAACACTCGGAACTCTTCATTTGACAAATTTCTTACACATAATCATTCACGAAAATGTCAATTTTATTTTAACTTTTGGATATCCTAACGTGCCATTGTTTTGTGTTAAACATGTTCGCAATGTCGGTGGCACACTCATATGTCGGATACCGCTTGTGTTGGGTATCATTTTCGTTGTTTCAAAGCGAGGATGCACAATTTGGTGGCTAATCACATGAATACTCAACACCCGTAAGAGTTGTTTTCGGTACTAGGGCGGGATGCCTCGCCGGACGCAGCGTGTCAGCCACATCTCCAAGCAGGGCCGGCCGGCCGAGGCCTGCGACACCCGAACCCGAGACGCTCAAGATAAGCAAGCATGAGTGGCGTGCACTGCCGACTGCCGGCGCGCCGCTTCTCGAGAGGGGCAAGGGTTGGGGGGGGGGGGGGGGCAGTGCTATGCGTTCTACGCACTCAAGGTTCAAGTGGGTGGGTGTGTGTGGACTGTTGCGGGGTGTGGCGAAGCGCGGCGGGACGTGGCGTCTAGGCAGAGGAAGGGGCGCGGGGGGGCAGCTGCGCGATGAGTGCTAGCAGCGTCTCGTAACGAGAGGAAGGGGAGCGGCACCGCGCAACGTGAGGGACGCACTTAGGAGTACTAGATAGCTGGGTGTTGTCGAGGTTATACGCCGCGCGCGCAACCCGAGCCCCCGCAGCCGCGCCGATTCATGGTGCGGCGGGACCGCGGCGCGGTGCGGCACGCTGAGGGCCCTCCGCTCATAATCTTCTAGGCAGGCCAGCCAGCCGCTGCCTTGCCAGCGAGGCGCTCGGCCTCTTCTAGGCTTGCTTTTCAGGCAACGAGGCAACTGCTGCCTGGCTAGCCGGAAACTCGGTACTCTCTGCACGAGAGTACAAGCACGCTGATACGTGAACGTATCATCTGCTAAAAAACCACGGTTTTGCCTGTTAAAAAAAGTACGGTGAAGTCTGGAGTAATCAGTACAGGATTTACCGTGATCTTTTCTCGCAGTGCTGACTCATTCGCACTACTAATTGCTGGCAATCTCCCTGTGACAGGCGAACGCCACGTGCCCGCTGTGTCTGGAGGTGGTGGACCAACGTGTCGGCGTGCCGTACCACTGTCTGGTGTATCATCAAAGGGACGAGGCCTGTCCCCATTGCTGTGCCCGCCCCATCAAGGACTTATCCAGCCACTTGACCGAGTTCCACCACGCCAAGTCGGACGGCCTTGTCGCTCCCGAGCTTGGGTGGTGCCCGCGAAGCGGTTGTGATTCTTCCTTCAGCTCGTGGAGCGACTTCGTTCGGCACACCGCTCACTCTCACGACGTGGCCGTCTCGGACCGAGCCTTGGTGTGCCAACTCTGTTTGCGCGTTCAAAGGTCACCCAAAGCCCTCAAGAGGCACTCGGATAAGCACTTCGACACTCAGAAAGAGCACTTCTTGTGCGATATATGCCCGGCTAGATATTTCAAGCAGAAACGCCTGTCGCAGCACATGAATGTGTTTCACAGGAAATAGTGGAATATGTGTTATGTATATAGTGTAATGATCAGTGTAATATGATAATATGATAATGGTTTTTTTTGTACAGTTATTTGTTTGTTTAGGATAGCTAGATCTTATTTCGAACCGATCTGGTTTATTGTGAGGACAGTATTTTTCAAGTTTTGGACCTCAAGATTACTTCTTCGTTTAAGTCCTTCTGTGAGAAGAGGTAGAGCAGGAGATGCAGATCATTCGCGTCGCAACTGATTGACTGATTGTTTATGGTGTGTTCATAGACAGGCTGTTTCCTTCTTAAGTTAATGTGATGATCAAACGTTATTTTTAGTTTCAATGAAGGCCTGTCAAAATCTGTCCTTTCGTCCTCCATTTCTGAGTGTGTGTATTATTTGTTCGAAGTACCTCATTCTCCCACGAAAGGGACGAACGTCACAGTCGTTCACTTAAGAATCAAACACTGAGCTCCTTGACTTCCATGAACACTCTACAAAAAATGTCCTGTCAACGCCGTTAATTTATTACCAATGTTTGCTGTTATGCAATTCACGGCGTTTGCTGTGAACTAGTTCACGGCGTTCACTGTGATCTCGGTTACAGTGTTCACTGTGATCTGGCCACAGTAAACGCCGTGAATTGGAGCCTGATTTGCAGTACTTCGGTGCTTAGCGGCGTCAAACTCACAGTGTTTACTGGGGACCAGATCACAGTGAACACCGCGAACAAGATCACAGTGAATCCCGTGAGCAGATCACAGTAAACGCTGTGAATTGACCTACAGTGAAAACTGGTAATAAATTAACGGCATTTACAGGACATTTTTGGTAGAGTGAACAGAAAATGAAGTGCCCTGTGCATTATCTTGCTAATCACAAACTACACAGACGGAATCTCAATTATCACTCTCAGTTATGAAATCGTAGAATCCCTGTTAACCTTGGAATTACGAGCAAAGCTCACCAAGTCTAACAGAGTCACCCACACTCAGAATTTTTTTTAACAAAGAATACAAACAAATCTTAGGGCTAACAGATGGTTTTAATTGTTGCAGGCACTAGGGGCTGCATCTCATTTTGCCGCTTCAGCTGAAGGGGAAGATCAACTTCTCACCTTTTGACCCGAAACTGTTATGGTCGCAGAATCTTTGTATTTGCTTGTTGTGTGTGCTAGTGTCATGATTTTTTTTTCATACATCCGTAATTATTTGCTTGGAAATTTCATGGGTAAAATGTCTATCTTGCTGTGGAGACTTTCCTATGTTTTTATCATCACAGGAAGAGATTCTCTCTCTCTCTCTCTCTCTCTCTCTCTCTCCTCTCTCTCTCTCTCTCTCTCTCTCGTTGTGCTTGAGAAATGTGATATGGAAAGACGCCACAGTGTTCCCACTTTTTAATCCTTGACATTTTTAAAAATCGAGAACTGCACATGATTTTTCACAAGAGTTTGTTCTTGGTGCCGTTTTGACCTTGTTTTATACAGCAGAGTCCACGTCATCGGTGGTATTGTAAGTGCCGTAGTACGGATAACGCATGCATGCTTTGCGCATGAACGGCTGGGCCGCATGTCCACGGGAAAGCCATCTCCTGAGGCCGTTGTTCCTTGCAATCACAGGAGATGGATTTACCGTGTCCTGCCAACGAGCACTAATTCCTGTTTCTGCTTTCAGGTCATGCCTCTGAGTCGCGCTCCGTCGTCCGCCAGAGGGGCCTTCGCCTGGACCGCCTGGAGGTGCTGCCGCTGCCCGGGCCGTCTGCTGCTTCGAGCCAACGGGGGAAGCCGGGGTCGCGGGGCTCCGCGGGCAGTGTCGTGGGCTGGTGCGTCTTTCCGGGATGCTCCGAGGGGTTCCCTTCCTGGGAGAGGCACGTCCTGCACTACAAGCAGCGCCACTTGAAGCAGTCGGACGCCGAGTCCTTCTGCTCGCTGTGTCTGGCGCGCGTCTTCAGCCACCGCTGCCACACGCTGTTGCACGCGGACGCCGGACTGGACTGCACTCAGAAGTACGTACACTGTAAAACAATAAAGTGACCCAATTAACGATGTCACTGAGTCACTCAAGGGCTTTTTGTTCATTTGTACGCGATTTAACAAGAATTTGTGCGACTCTAAATGTGAGAGCACGTCCGCGCTGTTATAATCAACACATTCAGTGTGTACCACAGAAGTGGTTCTTTTTCGTTTTCTGGTCAGAGTATAGTGACTTAATTAACGATGTCACCTCTTGCTCAAATGTTGCCCTTGTAAATTCACGAAGGTTATTCGTTAAAAACGAGGAACCTCCGTAAATGCATTACAAATATTTATGGATTAACGAAGAATCTTTTTTTAAGTAACGAGAATCTTCGTAAATTATCAAAACGTCTTGAGACTTTACGAAGGTGCCTTCGGCAACGCTTTTGCCCGTACCCTCGTTAATTCCGGAGAATCCTGTTCTATTACTCAACTATTCTCTGGAAACCCAAAACTATCTGATTTGAATTGCGTAACATTTCTTCGTCTTACTAAATCGTTTATGTCAATGTATACAGTTCACAGACGTGATCAAGACCACCAGAAAATTTGAAGAAGTCATTTCGTTTGAACACTTAAAAGGGAATTTTATTTTGAGACTCAGTGTCGTTTTGTTTGACTACAATTTTGCGAGCAGTGACGGATCCAGAGTCGGCCCAAGGGAGGGTGGTCAAAGTAGCACTTTTTGCCTACTTACAGGGGCAATGTGGTGCTTTTTGCCTACCTTTCAGGTGGCTATCTAGGGGTCAGGGGGGGGGGGGGCAATTGTCCTTTTGCGCCCCCCTGGATCCGCGCTTGTTTGCGAGACGCGAGGCAACTACCCGTGTTTTCTCGTACACAACGTAATGCTTCATGTACACCTAAATTCCGTGTCACAATTTTTGTACGTGGTCTCGCACGATTTCGCTCACACTTGCCTTTTTGCGAACGTGCTTTCTGCTAATTTGTTCGCGATTTCGCACGAATTCGTGCGATTCTGCGTACAAATTTGTGCGAAAAAGGTCTCAGGATTCAAACAATGAGAGAGCACGTCCAAATTGTTAAAATATACACATCAAGTGTGCACTACTGAAGTGGCTCATAGCTAATAGTTTGGGTTTTGTTCAGCCATTGCTCTGCGAGCTTCGTGCACCCATGGGCGCTCAGAGAGCACTTGGCTGAATTTCACCGTCCACCGCCGAAGACGCCGACGGCCGAGCCCCGAGCCCCAGCGGCCACTGCAGCGACTTCAACCAAGTTCAGGCCGCTGCCGGCGGCCTTGCCAGTCGGGGCGACATCGGTGCCACTGAAAGTGGCAACAACGGCTGTGGGAACGACGTCGAAGGAACGAATGGAGGCGAGGAGTTCAATCGAAGCGACTTCGACGCAACCAGTGGTTGCCATTGCACGGGTCGGAAGGACTTCAACGAAACCACCTGCTGCTGTTTCAAAGGTTGGGAGTGCTTAACGTAACCAGTGGCTGCTGCTGTTACACCTGTCGGAATGACTCCGACTGACGTATTGGTTGTTGTTTCACAGGTTGGAACGACTTTGACTCGACCAGTAGCTGCTGTTGCACGAGCCGGAGCCAATAACTATGTGCAACCGATGCTGGCCGTTACACCGGTTGGAGTGACACCGACGCCACCTGCTGGAACACCTACTGGAAGTAGAACAGGTACTTCGGGGCAACCCGTCGCTGCTGGAACACCGCACGGAGCTACTTCGGGGCAACCAGTCGCTGCTGATACAGTTGCTGCTGTTACAGTTGCTGGAACGACTTCGATCCCACCAGTCGCTGCTGTTTCACAGGTTGGAACGACTTCGATGCAATTAGTGGTTGCTGTTACTCTCGCTGGAATGACTTCGATTCAGTCAATGGCGGTTGTTTCACAGGTCGGGCCTACTTCGGGGCAACCAGTGGTTGCTGTCAAACTCTCTGAAACGACTTCGGTGCCGCCAGTGGCTGCTGTTTCACAGGACAGACCTACTTCGGGGCAACTAGTGGCAGCTGTTACCCTTGCTGGAACGACTGCGATCCCACCATTGGCTGCTGTGTCACAGGTCGGAACGCCTTCGACGGAGCACTCTCAGCACGTTACTGACTTTTTGCTCATTTTGTCTGTTATGCAAGTACACTGGTAAAACTAAAGCGTAGTATTACCCTCTGTTTTCAAGCGTAATCAGGTTACGCTTGAAATCAAGCGTAACAGGCTCATCCGACAAGTTTCCCCCTATCCAAATGCATGGGGGATTTTCCAGAGTATGCTTCATTTCAAGCGTAACGTCTTCAAGCGTAACTTTATGCTTGACTCAAGCATAGAGTTACGCTTTAGTTTTACCAGTGTAATTTGTGCAACCATAATACGCACTTTTCCATTATAAGGAACTACTTCAGAAATATTATGTATACATAATGCACTGACAATTTGGTTTTGAACATAATTTTACTAACAAGAAAAAGGCCAGTAACGTGCTGAGAGTGATTCCTGTTGCACTTGCTGGAACGATTTCGGTTCACTCGTGGCTGTTGTTTCACAGGACGCACCTACTTTGGGGCACCCAGTGGCTGCCGTCACACTTGCTGGAACGACTCCGATTCAGCCAGGGGCTGTTGTTACTCAGGCCGGAGCAACTTCGACGCAACTTGTATCTGCTGAATTGCAGGTTGGAAGGACTTCACCCTTAGCCGTTTACTGACTATTTCTCATTAGCAGTCGTATTTCTGTAAGCAACTTTAATACTAATAATGTTTCGTTTTCGTTCTAAAATACGTTAAAATTTCTTTGTAGTCTACTTAGAATACGGAACTATCAGTTAAGTAATTAGCAATTGCCAAGTAACACTGACAAAAATTACTAAGGGTTATTGTTGCTTACAAAAATGCGTCTGCTTTTATAAGATATAGTAAGGCTGAGAGTGTACGACTCGAGGGGTAATGCACTCGCGTAATAGTCGAGTCACCCTGTCCGTTATAGTACGCTTAATAGAGTGCGTAATAGCAGCGTAATAGCCGAAATTCTCCAAATTAGATCTATTTTAGGGGTGTTTTGGTCTGTTTTTAACTAAATTCCTATAATTTTGAGGCGTAATAGACGTAACAGTCGGGTCGCAGGTTTTAAGAGTGATTTTTCCCCTCGATTCGACTCAACTAGTATCTGCTGTTTTTTCAGGTCGGAACGACTTCTAGTGAACCAGCGGCAGCCACGGCCTCGTCCGTGGGTGCCGCGGAGGTGGGCGACGTGATCGCGGTGCTGGGCTGGTGCACCTTCCCTGGCTGCTCGGAGGACTTCGCGTCGTGGGCCGGCTACGTGGAGCACTGCCTGCAGCGCCACGGCCGCTCCCTGTGCCCGACCTGCCTGAACGTCCACGCCGCGCAGCACGGCGACGCGGACGCGAAGTGCGCCCTCTGCTCGGCGCGGTTCGTCGACTCGCAGGCCCTCAGGGTGCACAAGAACTTCTTCCACCGCGCGTTCGACTCCATCACGTCGCGCAAGTGGCACCTGAGGATCCAGGAAGCGCGCGCCGTCATCGGCTGGTGCACTTTCCCGCACTGCGGCCGGGCCTTCCTGTCCTGGGAGGAGCACGTCGTCCATCAGAAGGAGAGCCACTTGGCTCCGACGCAGGTGAGCGGACCTTTTAGTAGGTGATGTGTATCAAACCCTAGATACATGCACTCTAAATGTTGTACAGTGAAGATTCTCCATATTATGGTGAAAATGTTCCATATTATGGTGGTGCAGCTGACTTCGTAACATACCATTGAGAATTCACTGTACCTCATAGAGATTTGGACGAATTTCGTTGGAATTATGGAGCAAATCTCCACCATATTATGTTGGTGCAGCCTTTCACCGTAAAACATTTACTGTGTGCACACCCTAGTCCTTTGGACGAACTTTGTACGTGTTGTCTGACAATTTCGCGCACACGTACTCATTCAAATTTGAACAGATTAATCTGTTCGCAATTTCGCACGATTTTTGTTTGTTTTTGTTGCGATTCTGCGTTTTTGCTATCGTGTCTTTCCGATTTATACGAAACCGTTCGTATGTTGTGTGAGATCACGTATAAAATTGTCCAGATACACTCAGAGCGTAGGTTATTTTTTGTGCATAGCGTGGTAACGGAACTAAGCATGCGCCTGGTAGAACGCACTTACTCTACAAATTGAAGAGCGTACATTGTATGCTCTAACTGAAGCATGCATGCAAGCACGCTTTAGCTAGCGCATGCTTGCCAAGCATGCTTTTACTAGTGCATATATGCCATGTACACGCTATCTGATGCAGGCAACTCCCTATCCCTTATGCTCTAGAGGCATGCTCCAGTTAGCGTGTACTTGGCATGTATGCAATAGAAAGTTGCTTGGCAGGCATGCGCTAGTTAGAGCGTGCTTGCAGGCATTCTCCAGTTAGAGCATACAATGTACGCTCTTCGATTTGCACAGTATGCGCATCTACGCACAGTTTCGTGCCCAGTTCGCACAGTTTCATGCGCGTTAAACCATATGCACAATTTTGTGCAAAGTTTAAGCATTAATTAAAAACATGGTACATTCTCAGCCTCGTATTGACTTTTTATCTCTCACCAAAAAGTTTTTTTTTTGCCAAAGTAAGTCAGCCTTGCACGATTTTGTTCATAATATAGCACCGCGAAAACCATACAAACCTCTGTAGGCCTTGCAAAGAAAAGCAGCTTCTCAAGAAAAAGTTTTGAGCATATCTAAACTTGCTAAGAAAATACTTCGTAATTTATGAACTATTTCTTCTTACAACAAAATAAATTTGTTTGTACCATGTATCCTTATAGTACTTCGTTTTTAGCGTGAGGGTCTGTAGTCCTTTGTAGGACTTTTTGCCATTTGTAATGTTCTCATGATCTATCCCTTGGCATGATGCTAATGTGGAGAACTCCGAACAAGTGTGGAGAGTGCAAACTCTGCACTCCCATGGTGTCTGAAAAGTGCACACACTGTGAACTTGAGCTCGGTACACTCTTACGTGCTCTTCGCATGCACTCAGTACACACTTACATTTTCAGTGCACTTTCGCATCTCATGTGAGGAGGTCTCGCCGCTTGGTTTTTCTGGTGTGTCACACACTAAATGTTATGAACAAATTCGTACGAGACATCACTGTCTTGTGTGCACACGAAATTTTCGTACAATTTTCGTACGAAAAACTGCACATTTTCCGACTTTCTTGTTCAAAATTTTGTACAAATTTCTACGACAAGTCCGTGTGCACTAAAAACTGTGATGTCTCGTACAAAATTTGTTTAAAAACATTTAGTGTGCAACAAGTGTTGATGTTCCACTGTCCGCAGGACGACACGGTGTGCGACTTGTGCCTGGCCGTGAAGCCCGTGGCGGGGCTGCCGGACCACCTGGAGGCGCACCGCTTGTGGGACGCGCCGTGCTCGCTGTGCGCCGCGCGCTTCATCGCGGACAACACGGACCACCGGCAGCAGTTCCACCACGCGACCTCCGACGGCGAGGTCCCGGCCGTGCTGGGCTGGTGCATTGACACGGGCTGCGAGTCCTCGTTCAGCCGCTGGCAGGATCACGTGCAGCATTTCCTGCTACACCACTGGACGCTGGACGCCGACCTTGTGTGCCGCGTCTGCCTGGCTCGCTTCCAAAGCCAGGACGAGGCCAAGGAGCACCTCAAGGACCACGCCTCGCCGGGGAAGCAGCAGTTCAGATGCACCAGCTGCCCCGTCGGGTTTCTGACGTTGAAGCATTTCAGGAAACACATGAGTCACTTTCATGGACTGTGGGTCTCGCGGTTCTCGCCGTAGGTCTTATGAAATTGTTTGCACATGAATTTTTTTTTGTTAATATGTTGAATAGTGAAATGTAAAATTGTATAAGGCTTTGTACAAGATTTTTCGTACTCGTCCAATCGATGTTTAGTTTTGCCGTGCTGATTTGCTCGCTCTTGTGGGTCAAAGTATGTTCGTTTTTTTCTGTTTTGTTTTGTCTTGTGGGGGATTTTCTGTCTCTGTCACAACTCAACATGTTTTCTCTTGGAGCAACGATAGGTGAACAGTGTACCCCTCAACTCAAGACACCTCCTCCTATCTAATGACATTTGAAACCTGTAGTTGTTATTAGTCTCGCTCTCGTTCCGTTCTCTTAACCAACTCAATTCGGTTTACACCTTAAGATACTCTTTACTACTTCTACTTCCGCCGTTTTAACGACCCGCGTTCGGACCGCCTTTGCGTTGCAACGCGAGCCAAGCCAATCGTAGGTGTGCTGCTCGGTGGTTGGCGCGTGTTGGACGCGTATTTGTGTCGTATCTCCTAACCCGTTAAAGTTAAACAGGTTTTGTACGCGCACCGGCTTACCATTCCTGTCTTTCTTTACCAGTTTAAGAAATGCGGCCCAAAAACCCGTCTGGTGGACCTCGTCTGGCGTGCAGCATGCCTTCCATTCGTTTGGCTGTCTTTGCTCGGCAACGGTGGTGCGGCCTCGGGTGTCAGTCGAAGTGATTTAAAATCTGAAACGCACCTGATATTTTTCAAGGAAAATACCTTGTTTCTCCGAAGCGATTGTCCTGATTCCTTGTCTCCCTACACTATCTTATGTTGGACATTGTTGTAATTTTAACAGTTTTCAAAGTGATTTAAAAACTGAAGCACCTGTCGTTGTTAAGGAAAAGTGCTCTGTTTTTTTTTGTTTTTATTTTTCGAAACGATTGGTGACTCCTTGTCTACCCTCACTTTCTTATGTTGTATATTCTTGTAGTTTTAAAACCTTTTTAGGTGGTTTAAAACCTTACATGCACCTGTCGATTTTCAAGGAAAATGCCTTGTATTTCAAAAGCGATTGTCCTGATTCCTTGTTTACTTTCTCTTTCTTATGTTGGACTTTTTTGTAATTTTAAAACCTTTCTAAACTAATCGCAGCTTACACTCTGCCATATGCTTAAATCGAACTGTGGTGTTTTTTTTCTAGCTAGCTGGTTCCTGAGCGCGAAACACAGAAGACTCACGGAGGGCTGACATGCCTGCCCTTCACATTGAAGTTCACTTGATTTGATGTTTTCCTTATAAGGGAGAAGACTGCGAATGAATGAGTCACGACCGTTACGAATTAATGACTGATGATTTGTCGCTCAATTATGTGTGGTAGAGATAGTATTTCACCTTAATAAACAACCTCCCAACGCCCAAAACAACGCAATGAACGAACTGCGATGTGATTGTTCCAAGTTAGCTCCGGTTGGCTTATGCTGATGTCGAAACTGGTGTGAGTAAAACATAATCTCCGAGATACACTCCTTGCTGTTCTAATCATGTATTTTTAAGAAACTTTTTTTCAGGAGCTCTTTAATTTTAACGATTCAGTCTAGTATTTAAAGATTGAAGGTGGTTGACACTGCCCTTAACTAGATCCTACATCCACATTTTCTTATCTTCACACTTATTTGTAGTGTATGTTGGAATTTCGGTGACTGGGTGCGGGTTCGCATGTTCAAAGCGACACCATTTGCTATAATCGTACACATCATAGAAACTGCTAGGAGAACGTTGGGCGATGCCTGTGCTCTCCACAGAATCTAATTCCTGTCCCTGCTGCCAGGTTCCGCTGCGCCCCGCATCACCGTCAAGAAGGAGTTCGGCATGGACAGCTTCGGGGAGCCAAGGCCTCTGTTGCTGGCTGCCGTCGTCAAGAAGGAACTCAGAGAGGACGGCTTCGTGGAGCCAAGTCCTCTGCTGCTGGCTGCCGTCAAGAAGGAGCTGGGCCTGGAGCCAGGCCCTCTGTTGCCGTCTGCGCCTGCAAGCGAACAACAGGCGTCCAGGGACAGTGCCCCGTCAGAAGCTCAGGGCCTTTTGCATCCTCACAGTCTGACCGAGGACCTGCCGGGAAGCGGTGCGGCCACTGCTGAAGAACGCCAGGGCCGTCGTCGGAGTCCTCCTTGGCCGCTGCGGGAATGCCAAGACCGTCATCGGCGACTTCTTCGGCCGTTAAAGAAACGCCCAGACCGTCGACGGCGCCCTTTGCCGGGAAGCGCTTGCGCCCCCACTGCTGGAACGTCTGGACCGTCGTCGGCGTCCTCTTCGGCTGCTCCGAGGAAGTCAAAACCGTCGTTGGCGTCCCCCAAGGCTGCTCCGGGAACGTCAACGTCAAGACCGTCATCGGCGTCCCCCAAGGCTGCTCCGGGAACGTCAAGACCACCGTCGGTGTCCTCCAAGGCTGCTCCGGGAACGTCTGGACCGTCGTCGGCGTCCTCCAAGGCTGCTCCGGGAACGTCAACTTCAAGACCGTCATCGGCGTCCCCAAGGCTGCTCCGGGAACGTCAACTTCAAGACCCTCATCGGCGTCCCCCAAGGCTGCTCCGGGAACGTCAAGACCACCATCGGCGTCCTCCAAGGCTGCTCCGGGAACGTCTGGACCGTCGTTGGCCTCTTCGCCTGCTCCAAAGAAGTCAAAACCGTCGTCGGTGTCCTCTCCGCCTGCTCCCAAAAAGTCAAAAGCGTCGTCGGTGTCCTCTCCGCCTGCTCCCAAAAAGTCAAAACCGTCGTCGGCGTCCTCTTCGCCTGCTCCAAAAAGGTCAAAACAACTGTCGTCGGCGTCCTCCTCGGCTGCTTCAAGAACGTCAAAACCGTCGTCGGCGTCCTCTTCGGCTGCTCCGGGGACGTCAAGACCACCATCGGCGTCCTCGAAGGCTGCTCCGGGGACGTCAAGACCACCATCGGCGTCCTCGAAGACTGCTCCGGGAACGTCAAGACCTGCATCGGCGATCTCCGTGGTTGCTGCGAGTACGTCCAGACGGACGTCGGCCGTGCCTCAATACACCGTCGTTGGCCATGGTACCTCGTTCAGGGGTTGGTGCTTATTCTCGGGCTGCTCGGAGAGTTTCTCCTCCTGGGAAGCCTACCTGGAGCACTCCAAGTCGAAGCACGACCCTTTCGTGTGTTCAGTCTGCGGGTTTTCTTCACACGGGAAGCCACACGGAGTGATGGACTCGACCTGCTCGCTGTGCCCAGCGCGGTTCACGGAGATGCAGCTTCTGCGGACCCACCAGAAGGGCTTCCATCGCGTGGTCGAAGCTTCTTCGCCTCCGGGCAACCTACGTGTGGTTGGATGGTGCCCCTCCCTGTACTGTGAACACCCCGCCAGCTCCTGGGAAGATCACGTGTCGCATCAGAGGACGTGTCACCCACTTCCACGAGGCTCGGTGAGTGAATTCCACTTTCGCCCAGTCGCACTCGAAATCGCGTTCTAAAAGCGATTCACTTGCACTGGACTTGTCCTGAATCTGTGGGTATCTTTTTCCCAGAGTGACGCAATTACGTGGTGTTATTAAAATCCAGTGGCATTTTTTTTTGTCAGCCTTGACACTTTCCTTTCGCACTAAACTCTTGTAGACTTTTTCAACGCTTCATTGTGCTCTTTTTATGGATAATTACGCATGCACCGTTACGTACACTGGTATAACTAAAGCGTAAATCTATGCTTGAGTCAAGCATAAAGTTACGCTTGAAGACGTTACGCTTGAAATGAAGCATACTCTGGAAATTCCCCCATGCATTTATATAGGGGGAAAATCTTGGCGGATGAGCCTGTTACGCTTGATTTCAAGCGTAAACTAATTACACTTGAATACAGAGGGTAATATTACGCTCTACACACTGAATGTTATGTACAATTTCGTACGAGACATCACAGTTTTTTGTGCACAAGAAATTTTCGTACGATTTTTGTACGAAAAATTGCACATTTTTCGCCATTTTTGTCCAAAATTGTATAAAATTTTGCACAAATTTGTACGAAAAGTTCGTGTGCTCAAAAAACTGTGATGTCTCGTACAAAATTTGTACAAAAACATTTAGGGTGTAGTTTTAACCAGTGGAGGATTGACCCTCAAAGCGCTAGGAACTAATGACAATCTCCCTTCAACAGGGGGACGCGATGTGCGACTTGTGCCTGCAGACGGGTCCAGCCAGCGGGCTGCCGTACCACGTCCACGCGCACCACTACGAAGACACGGGCTGCCCTCTGTGCTCCGCCCGCATCATCGGCGACCTGTCGCAGCACATGGCGCAGTTCCACCACGTGCGGCGGGACGGCTCCGTCCCGGCCGTGCTGGGGTGGTGCATGCGAAGCGGCTGCCATTCGTCGTTCAGCTGCTGGGAGGACTTCGTGCAGCACTTCATCCACTGGCACGCCAACGTCCGGGACCCCGCCCTCACGTGCCACCTGTGCCTGGCGCCGCTCAAGACAGCCAGTCACGCCCAGCAGCACATGGACGCGCACTTCAATCCTCGGGCTGAGCATTTCACGTGCAGTGGCTGCCCGGCCCGGTTTTTGCAGAGGAAGTTTTTCATTGCGCACATGAAAATTTTCCACAGATTTGTTTTAACTCCGTGTGGCCGGAAGTAGTTTCCCCGGGCACGCGAGATCGCTGTTTGTGAATCTTATTGATGTACTTCGGAACTCTCGGCCACTTTTTATTATTGGAACCCATGTCTGAGACGCATGGAGGAACATAAATGTCTTTTTGTATTTTATGTATATTTACTGTAGGTTTTAGACTTAAGGTGATGGGAACGGGTAGAAAATTAAGACTTGCTTTTATTTTTTTCGTGCAGCGTCCTGTACTAGTAATTTTAATTCTTTTATGCCTCTGTCAAATGAACAGCGGGGTTACCCGTACGAATACCTCAGAGCAGGGCTCCGTTGCTTATTCTGATTGAACGTTTCCAGTTTCATCTTCCGATGTCTCGTGATGGTCTGGGCTATATCAATGATAACTTCATTTGTAATTGAATTCGTAATTACATCGTCGTAACTTTGAGAGCTCTTAATGAAATTGTTAGTGAAAAATCTGAAAATTGAATGTTACAGAGCTCTGCGTTCGGGTCTTTCCCTTACACGTTTATACTTGATGTTGAGTGTGGCGAGAAATGAATTTATATACCAAACAAGTGTTTTGATTTTAAGATAATTGTCTTCTTGAAACTACCTACCAGGTGTCTTTTTAATCACCTTTTAGTTTTAATGGAATTTGTGATGTATTGAATTTTGATTTTAAAGGCTTTCTTTATGGTAATCTATCTTTGAAAATTTCGGAGATGCATATAATTCTTGTCAGGTTGCGTCTCGCTGTTTGTTTCCCATTTACAGTGTTAGAAATATAAGTGAAGGAAAAATATATACATTCTAGTTAAGAATCGTTCTTTTAATTTGCAGAGAGGGCCTCTAAAACTTCCTATCGCTTATTGTGCTTTCTGAGAAAACCAGTCAGTTCGAATTCGAAACAGACATAAGCCAAAAAAAGACACCAGAGTTAAAAAGCTCATACACTGATTAGAGTTCCATACGAATCGTCTTTAAATTACCCTTCGTTTCAGAGGCCCTACGTACGGGATGACCTTGAATTAACGCGTTCCTAGTGGAATTATACTGACTCTCAGACCATATCCAAGACCATTCTAACTGTCTGTGTCGACTCAGAGCTATCCTAACTGGACATGACGTGAAAAGCGGCCTTCTCTCCAAGTGTGTGCACGTTTAAAATCTTACGAAAGTATTTTGAGCATACATATTATTACAAGCTATCTACAAACTGCGAATAAATAGTTCGTAAATTACGAATTATTTACTCTGAAAGCTTTCGTATGCTCAAAATACTTTGTTGTAACAAGCTGCTTTTCTTTGTAAGGTCCAAAATAGTTTGTAAGGTTTTCACAGTGTGGCGCCCACATTCTTCGCAAAATAACTTGCCGAGGACTTGTTAAAAAGTTCCGTTCCAAGGACATTGCATTTTTCACGATTCACTGATTTGCAGCGGAGGCAGTTCATGAGCACTGTCAGGCACTTACCTCTGCAGTTACGATACTTTCAAATCCACACTGACAGTTACGATTGTCTTGGATCTACTTCTAGCAGTGAGGATTATTCAATTAGGACGCGTCAAATGATTTTTGTTCTCTCTAAATTTTGGTTTGTGCTTTTTTGAGCTTCTTATCATTTACAACGTGCATTTAGTGAGGTCTAATTTTCCCTGCTAAAAAACTTCAGTACCTCTTGAAAAATCTCCCTCTTCTGCTTCCTGGTATAAGACTCTTCACACTCAATCGTTTACTCCATACACACTCTTCGTGTGCTTGAAGGGGCAGTGATACCGAATCTGCTGTCCTTCTAGTTGTCTTTTCCCGCTTCATAGTGAGTTTTAGCAATTTTGGTGATTGGGTTCTGGTTTGCATGCTAACTACTTGAATTTTGGTTTACTTTTTCTGTTGAAATAATACGAAATAACTAAGAAACTAGAATTTAAAATAACGGTACACGTAGGCGATGCCTGTGTTCTGAATAGAAACTAACTCCTGTCTCTGCTTCCAGGTTCTGCTGCCGCTGCGCCCCGCATCTCCGTGAAGAAGGACTTCCGCCTGGACCGCTTCGGGGCGACAGACCCACTGCTGCTGTCCGGGCCCGCTGCAGCAAGCGGACAAGCATCCCAGAGTGCATCGCCAGAAGCTCGGAGCTCCGAGGACAAGGTCATCGGCTGGTGCACCTTCAGAGGCTGCTCGGAAGGGTTCACGTCCTGGGAGGATCACGTGCAGCACCACATGAGCAGCCACATCAGTCAGTCGGTGCAGAGGCATTTCTGCCGCAAGTGTTTGATGCGGCCCTCCAGACCCGAGGCCCACACGGCGGCGCACTCAAACCTTCGCCTGGGCTGCAGCGAGTGCTCGGCGACCTTCGTGAGCCCAGGGCACCTGAGCGCCCACAGGATCCAGTTCCATCACCACAGTCCGACCGAGAACCTGCGGGGAAGAACCGTTGCGGCCACTGCTGCAGGAACGTCCAGACCGTCGTCGGCGTCCTCGGCCGCTGCAGGAACAAGACCGTCGTCGGCGTCCTCGGCCGCTGCAGGAACAAGACCGTCGTCGGCGTCCTCGGCCGCTGCAGGAACAAGACCGTCGTCGGCGTCCTCGGCCGCTGCAGGAACCAGACCGTCGTCGGCGTCCTCGGCCGCTGCAGGAACGTCCAGACCGTCGTCGGCGTCCTCGGCCGCTGCAGGAACGTCGAGACCGTCGTCGGCGTCCTCAGCCGCTGCAGGAACGTCTAGACCGTCTTCGGCGTCCTCACCCGCTGCAGGAATGTCCAGACATTCATCGGCGTCCTCGGCTGCTGCAGGAACGTCAAGACCGTCGTCGGCGTCCTCGGCCGCTGCAGGAACGTCGAGCCCGTCATCGGCGTCCTCCTCGGCCGGGCCCTATTACGACTTCGTGGAAGACGCTGCCCCAGACATGATTGGTGCATGATTCCACAATGCTCGGCGGGTTTCTCATCCTGGGAGCGATACGCAGACCACTACAATTCGACGCACCAGTCAGCTTCTGGGTCGCCGGACAGTAGGCCTGTCATTGGTTGGTGCACCTACCCCCACTGTGGCCGCCCCTTCTGCTCGTGGGAAGAACACGTGTTGCATCAGAGGATGTGCCACGCCAACAGAGCACAGGTTAGTGAGCACACTGTAATTCCAGGTGTGAGACAGTCACGCACCATGTAGTGCGAACCACTTTGTCTGAAGCTTGCAAGTGTCAGCCACGGTTGGGCTAAATTGCAATGTTTTTGTACTTAGAGAATGAAAGAGTCATGATCATGACTAAAATTTTGGGTGAGGAATTCCTTATTTCACAAATCTGGGTGAGGAAGGTTTCCTCACACAAATTTTGGTCTTAATAGTTATGGAGCCACATAGGTAACTGATACACCCTTCCTCAACCAAATTTGGGTCCTAAAGTACACCTCGCCCAAAATTGCGTATTGATCAAGACTTTTTCTTTCTGAGTATACGTGGTGATGCATGATTTTAACCTGTGTACACTGAGAAAACTTGACATACTATTTGCGGCCTGACAAAGAAAAGCAGTTTGTTTTAACAAAGTATTTTGAGAACTATCTCTTCGTGTAACAAAGTAAATTAGTTTGTATTATTAAGTTGCTCGAGCCTATCGTGACACTCTAACTCCCATTGTGGACACTTTGAAACCTACACTGGTGTGGATGGAAATTCATCCCTAGAGCTTAGCCATTAGATAATCGCTCTCAAATTTGCATAAATTTATGCACTTTTACTCATATTATGCAAATTCGTCGTATGCACAAACTCCTGCAAGTTCCCCCACTGAGAAAACCTTATAAACTATTTCAGGCCCTACAAAGCACAGCAGTTTGTAAGAACAAAGTATTTTGAGCATACATAAGATTACAAATAAAATACTTCGTAATTTACGAACTATTTCTTCGTATAACAAAGTAAATTAGTTTGTCCGTATGTACACTCTAAATGTCTTACGAAGAAATTTCTCATAATACGAAGGAAATGGCGCAAGCATAATACGAAGGTGTTTTCTCTTCGTATTACGAAAGTTTTTCTTTGTATCTTCCAATTAAAAAGCTACAAAGATTCGTATTACGAAGGAATATTGCTTCGTATTATGCTTGCGCCGAATCCACTGTAACATACGAATAACATAGGTCAAATTTCATTGTAAGACATTTAGAGTGTATGCTCAAAATACTTCGTAAGGTTTTAAGGGTGCCGTACAAAATTCCGCCTAATCACTTGGTGTGTGTTTGACAGGTGGACGCCATGTGTTCCTTGTGCCTGCAAATGGAGCCAGTGGGCGGACTGCCGGGCCACCTGCAGCTGCACCGCAAGGGCGACGTGGCCTGCCCACTGTGCTCCGCCCGCTTCGTCGACGGCGACGTTTCGAGCCACATGACGCAGTTCCACCACGTGCGTCCGGACGGCTCTGTCCCGGCCGTGCTGGGGTGGTGTACGAAGAGCGGTTGCGGCTCGTCGTTCTGCTCTTGGGAAGACTACGTCCAGCACAACATTCACCAGCACTCGATGGTGTCCGACCCCGCGCTTGTGTGCCACTTGTGCCTCAGACAGCACGGAAATCTCGCCGAAGCAAAGGAGCACATTAAGGAGCACTCCAACGCTTCTACGGAACCCTTCAAATGTGAAATGTGCCCTGCACGATTTTTCAACTTCAGGCACCGTTCAAGCCACATGAGAAGATTTCACAGACATAATTGTTAGGGGTAATCCGACGTACCTTTCTCGGTCTTGCTAGATAGCTTTTCGCTTATCCAAGGAATGAGGGAAGTGAAAGAAATTTTTGTTGTGGATGTGGATATGTTCACTGTTTGGTGTCGGCCTTAGGTGTTGGGAACAGATGGGAAATTCAGACCATGTGTTAATTATGAATAAAAAATGGTCGCTGAAGTTACTAGGAGACACTGGAAATAATTTAACCCCTTAGCTAAACGACCAGTGTGTGTGCCAAGGACCCAGATGCTGGGCTCCGTCATTTAATTTAAATAATGTTTACTGTCTCAGTCTCGGTTAGTGTTATTATTAAAGTCATGCAGGGGATAAGATTCAACCATAATTGTATTTTCAGCTTTTGCTGTGCTGGCCCTTTGCAAAAGATTTTGGTGGGAATTTTTTTTTTTCTTGAGAAAATTGATTTTTTGGGGTACCAATACCGTTTTTTAGTTAAACTGAACAGGAACTGTACTTTTTTGAACCTTAAGGTTGGAGATTCCTTTTTTTTCCATTTCAATCCATCTTGAGTACAAATAATTTATGTCATGGTTTCACAGTTTTGCTGTTATGGTGTGGGAAGTGGAAGTTATAGGAATAATATTGTATTGTGACTTGGGAGGAAAACCTGTTGAGTTCTCATCGGGTGCTGTTGTGAGAATAAATCTTTTTTTTTTTTCAAACAACATTGAGTTTGTTTCTCTATAAATACCTCAATGAGTATTTTGTTATGTACACGAGCTCTGCTCTGCTGTTGCCAGTAACTTCTCAAGAGCGCGATCCCACAATTCCATGTCCTGAGAAGATTGGCGCAATGTTAAATGTATGTAGCTAAGAAATAAGAACAGAACAGATTGAATGCGGTTAAAAGTTATGTGAGACTTTTTCAAGCGCGTTTTGACGATTGAGTCTTTCGTTCTGTGTAGGCCAAAGTGCACTCTCATTCCACACTGTGAGAATAAGGTACGTATTTTGCCATTAATTTTATAACGGGATTTGCCGTACTTGGAAGTGCGGTGTTTACCGTACCTGTAGGTACGGTTTTTACCCAAGTTTTTACCGCTGTTTACCGTACTTCGTGCAATTCACTACCTGAGAGACGCACCCATTTCTTTACTGCAAAGTCAATCTGAACGATTTTAAAATCTCACTCAAACTCTTTGGAATGGAATCAATGTATGGCTACATCTTTACAGCGCAGTGTACAAACTACTGTAAACGCCGTACTTCGAGGTACGGCAAATACCGTCTCTAAATTAACGGCGAAAATCGTACCTTCTCCTCACAGGTGACAAAATGGCACGTTCCTTAGAGCATTGTGTCACGTTCGTTTGAATGTGAATCGGCCATAAATGAGCTTATTCACAAACGAATGTGACGCAATGCTCAAAGTAACGCGATGCTTTGTCACGTTCGTAACCACCTGATGTTACATGAGAGTGTAAGGCTGGTTGGTGATCCTTTCGCAAATCCCCTGTCCCACTATATGTCTTTCCTCCGCATCCTAGTGTACAGGTGACTGTTTGGGTTCGGGCTTTTTGCATGCCTCAGGCGACAACATTTAATTCAATCCTATGAGGCATTTACACATTACAGAAACTGCCTGAGAGATGTTGCACGGTGCACGTTACCGAAGCGCGTGTTGTGCGCAGAACTAGAATTTAAAATAACGGTGCACGTAGGCGATGCCTGTGTTCTGAATAGAAACTAAGTCCTGTCTCTGCTCCCAGGTTCTGCGCCCCGCATCTCCGTGAAGAAGGACTTCCGCCTGGACCGCTTCGGGGCGACAGGCCCACTGCTGCTGTCCGGGCCCGCTGCAGCAAGCGGACGAGCATCCCAGAGTGCATCGCCAGAAGCTCGGAGCTCCGAGGACAAGGTCATCGGCTGGTGCATCTTCAGAGGCTGCTCGGAAGGGTTCACGTCCTGGGAGGATCACGTGCAGCACCACATGAGCAGCCACATCAGGCAGTGGGCCCACAAGCTCTTCTGCTGCAAGTGTTTGGTGCGGCCCTCCAACCCCGAGGTCCACACGGCGGCGCACTCCAACGCCGGCCTGCACTGCAGCGAGTGCTCCGCGGCCTTCGTGAGCCCAGGGCACTTGGGCGCGCACATGATAGTGTTCCATCGCCACAGTTCGGCCGACGGGTTGCTGGCGGGAAGCAGCGCCGCCACCGTTGCCGGGAGGTCAAGATCGTCGGTGGTGCCTTAGTCCAGGTTTTGTGTTTGATACCCCGATCTGTTCTGAGGGATTATTCTCCAGAGAACGCTGCGCCGACCACTGCGTAGGCGCTCTTCAACCCAGAGGTGAAACACTGAACATGTGACACCTGCGCGGCACGGTTTCTCAAGCAAATCCTGCTCTTTAGACCCACGTGTTTGCCCTTGCCGTTTCCACGCGTCTGCAGAGTGCTTTCCGTGAATCTTGCTTGTAAGACAATTTCGTGTTTTTCGTAACTTTAAGGGTTTAAGCTCATTCACTCAAGTGTGCAAAATTATGGGATTTGGTGACATACTTTGAAAAATTTTTCTGTGTTTCTTGGTGTTGGGACTGAAAAGAATATGAACTCGTCACTTCTGATGTTCGTGACACAAAAATATTCTTTCGAATTGTCGGAGGAGGCCGATTTAAGACTCCGACAAGGCTCTGCTTCTTATTTCAATGTGTCCTGGTCTGTGTTATTACCAGTAACGGTCTGAGTTATACAATGGATAACATAATTATATATTTATCTAAGTCAACATTGTACTCGGTGCACTCTCCTTGAAGTTTCAGGGTGAAAGTTTCGTAAGCACGTCCACGTCGAAGAGAATTGACTGAACAATTATTGTTATTTTGGAATGAAGCTGTCTACAGCGCAACGTTACTGATGCTGGTCTTGTGAGACACAGATTTAAATAAAATTAGGAGCTCAGCCCCTCAGGTATCCACACTTGATGCTCGCTTCGGAGTTGAAAGAAAAAAAATACATAGTAGTTTTAGGGGATAATGTTTTGTAGTGCAAATAACGTGATAGATTTTCGCGAATCCGTCTTTAAATCACATCAGAGATTGTAATTTTATTGTTTTTAATTTTAAAGTCAATCTAACTGTATCGATCTTTGAGCCTTAGACATAGAGAAATGCATATGGAATGGTGATAGAGCATTAACCGTTTGTCATGGGCCTGTGGTGTTACGCAGAATTTTATGATGAATGGAAAATAAAAACCAAAAATTTATTGAGATTGAGAAGTTTTTAACCCACGGTCTCCGCGTCTGGACTGCCGCTGCAAAGCAACGCGAGTAAAGCAAGTGACAGCTGCTGCCGGTGCACGGTTGTTCCGCCTTTTGCAATTCCGCCAAGTGTTTGGAAGCATGCTGTAAATAAAGAGTGTCCTATTTACACACTTCAGTGCATAGACCTTAAAGAAATGGATTCAAGCCCGCAATACAAACAAAAAATGTCGGCACTTGCTGTAGATTTGAATGATAAACAACTCAGATGTACATTCAGACGGCGCACGATGCGCACGTCAAAACTGTCGATTCATTAATTCTTTTGCGCTGAACACAGGTACAAATCAGCCTCTAAATCTTGGCAGAGCGCATCGGACTGGCCATTTTTTCTCACCATCAGCTCTGCTTATTTTTGTACGAAGTTTCCTAGAAAAAAATTATCGAAGGCAGTTAAAATTTTAGCGGATGAAAAGCTGTCGTTGCAATGGGAATTGTTTAAGTGGTTTTCGTACACGTACACGTTCGTTTGGATGTGGCATAAATTAGTTTATTCACGTTGAAACGAACGTGACACAATGCTCAAAGGAACGTGACATTTTGTCACATTCATTTCAACTTTACTTTTTAAAGAGATTTTATTGTTCTTGTTACATTGTTACATTACATTTTACATTTTTGGTTGGCGTTGCCTTGCGGCTTTCCCCATATTTGCTAGGTCTAGGTATTTCTTAAATTTGGTTGCTACTACTAGAGTTCTAAGTTAGGTTCGAGGGAGCCCTTTGGGGCTTCTGCACTAAAACTAGGGGTGCGGTTCCGGCCTCTCCAAAGCCGGAACCGCTCAACGTGATGTCGCGTTCCTGGGATGAGAGTGTATAGGACACAAGTTTTTGTCAATTTGATGGACCTAGAGGCTTTGTTAAAAGAAAGGGTACATTTTTTAATTAACCCATTAACCATTTTTCGATAGCACAAACTGACTGTCGCAAATTTGTGTTTTAATTTTTCTTACGGAGAGTTTGCACTTTAAATTTCTATAAGCAATTGGAATGATCATTTGTTTAAATGCAAGAAGCGGTCTTCAATTTGGAGTGGAATGAAAAGAAACCAAATGTTAGACTGAAACCAATAGGAAATCTTTCGGAATCCTCCCCCCCCCCAAACAAAAAAAAAGAAAAAATATTAAAAAAAATAACAACAAACATGACACCCAAGATTGCTTGTGTTTATTGGACTAAAAGCATAGCGGCAACATACAGCTCTGCAGTTCTTGTAAGGTCGTGTCGCTGCCGGGTGACTTTCTCCGTTTCACTTGGTTGTCCCAGCTTTTGTCGCAGCAACTGCAGGCATCATAAGAGAAAGTGAGAACCAAGACACTCGTGATGGCCCCAAGTGTTTCGCATTCAATTAAACTGCTTAACAAAAAGAATTATTTAATTTGGAAAAGGTACAGAATAGGATACGGTATAAAGGCAGGAAGCGTCCAAAAGAGGAGTATCGTAAATTTTTCGTGCTGAGCGAGAAGAATCGTTACGCTCTCATTCTAGGAACGTGGCATCACGTTGAAACGAATGTGACAAAATGTCACTTTCTTTTGAGCATTGTGTCACATTCGTTTGAATGTGAATTGGCCAATTTATGACTGATTCACATTGAAATCGACACAATGCTCAAAGGGACGTGACATTTTGTCACATTCGTTTAAACGTGCTTTTACGTTCCTAGAATGAAAGTGTATTGTCACGCTCTGACCAACTTTTGGACCGTGTCAGTGAATGTTTGCACGGCGAAAGCATAATACTTGGGATTCACGGGCCCACCCTGTGGAAAAGCGTCCACCAGCAGCCACCCCGGAATCCCAGGTTACTGCCGTGTGGTAGGCAGAAAGTAATTAGGATCTTTCGGTCAGCACAAACAATTACGATCAAATTAGACACAAATAGTTACGATACTTCCCTTAGAACGCGTCAACAGACCTCCGCCGCTTAGCCTTCATACGGAGGGATCTCATGGAATCTAACTGGGGCGTGAAACATCGTACGCAACCTCCGTTGATGGCAAGGAACGGACGGCAGATAAATAATTGACCACACAGTAAAAACTCCACGAAGAATCACTTCGCAATACGAAGAAAATGAAGGCATTGAAAAATCTACGAAGAAATGCTTCGTATTATGAAGCAAAATCCTTCGTAATACGAAGCATTTCTTGATAATACGAAGCATTTCTACAACGCCTTCATTTTCTTCGTAGTTATGAAGCGAATGCTTCGTAGGCTTTCAAGAGTGCAAGCATGTTCAGTTCTGAAGCGGCACTCACTGGTAAATTGCACCGGCATATCTGCGACCCAGTAGGCAGGCCTGACCCTGAGCATGCCGTAGTCCGCCCCCACGGGGACCTCCACCACGTCGTCCGGCCGGTCCTGCCGCCACACGGCGAGCTGCCCGGGCCGGTGCTGCACCTCCAGCACCACCTCGCCGGGGGCGAAGTCCTTGTCGCTGCCTGACCAGTGGTCCTGCACAGACAGCTCGCGATGAGATCGAGGGGCGAATGAACACAGTAAATGTCTTACGGTGAAAGGCTGCACCAACATATTATGGTGGAGATTTTCTCCATAATACCAACGAAATTCGTCCAAATCTCTATAAGGTACAGTGAATTCTCAATGGTATGTTACGAAGTCAGCTTCACCACTATAATATGGAACATTTTCACCATAATATGGAGAATCTTCGCTGTACAACATTTAGAGTGAAGACCACTGTGTCACTGCAAAGCCGGTGATAAGTTTGCTTGCCAAAATTAGGCAAGCTTTGACCTGAAATCTTCATGAGCTGGGGAGTATTTCTGTGCGAAGCTCGCCAATTTAAGGCATTCGAAACGGCTTGCCAATGCCAATTTTGTGGCAAGCGAACTTACCACTGGGCCCAAAGCTACAAAGCCGCCTAGATGAGCCAATTGTCCAGACTCCTTTACCATTTTTCTTTCTTGTCTCACCCCACATAGCAGGGAAATATGGGACGACAGTCTGAGGGTTACTGCGTGTAATCCCTACTGCACCATAAGATCTGAAGTTTAGGGGGAGTGTAGCCAAAGGGGCAAATAAACAAGTTATAAACTCCTCCGCACCTCAAATTGAAATTTAAAGGAGAACCTCAAAATTTGTTTCCACCAAGGGGAAGTCACTGAATTTCGGCGCACAAAGCCAATGAATTTCAGTCGATTTTCGATGAATTATAGTCCAATTTCAATGAATTTTAATGAATTTCAGTGAATTTTACATGTTTGATGAATTTCGGTGTGCACATTTGGCTGGAGTTATTTCCCCTTGACCTCCACCGATCTTCTGGCCCGTTGGAAAACTCGCCTTGACGCCGTTGCCCCTCCAGCCGAGTGCGTTGCAGCCCGTGAACGTCCTGTAGGCCAGCGTGCCGTTGTCCCTCTCGCCAAACAGCCACACACTGCTGCACCTCTGGCCGCCACACAGATGCACCAAGATGATGCCGTGCACCTTCGCGAACTGCACGCGGGCCGTGCCTGATGCGTTGACCGGCAGGGCCACCATGTTGAGCCCTACAGTGGGAGCGTCACTTCGTCACTTAGCCTGCACACCGCCGCGTGGCCCTACAGCGTAGGGCCTACACACTAAATGTGAGTGATTATATGACAGAACAACGTAATCTTCATAGGGAATCCCACGGTAGTTACGCTGTTACACACTTACAAAAGCATGCGCCAAGTACACACTTACAAACGCATGCTTGACGCCGTAACTCCATGCGTCAAGCATGCGTTTGTAAGAGTGTACGTGCAAGCATGCATTTGTAAGTGTGTGCTTAGTAGACAGTTAGGTTTGCAGTGTACCATTTTGTACGGAGACATCAGAGTTTTTTGTGCACACGAACTTTTCGAACAATTTTGGTACGAAAAACTGCACATATTTCCCCATGTTTGTGCAAAATCTCGTACAAATTTGAACGAAAAGTTCGTGTGCACAAAAAACCGTGGTGTGTCGTACAAAATTCGTTCGAAAACAGTTAGTGTGTACACTGCCAATCCAAGTGTGAGACAGTCTCACACTTGTAGGTGTGGGACTATTTGTCTTACGCTTACATGTGTGAGCCACGCTCACTACAAATCCAAAGGTCAGACTTTACGCCTCTGGAGAGGCGAGACAAAAAGTCTCGCCACATTTTGGCGATACTTTCATGTCTCGCCACAATATGGTCAGATTCAAATGTCTCGCCAATTTATGGCGAGACTTTTTTGTCTCGCCAAAATATGACCCAAAATTATTGAATAGGGTAGGCAATGCATGGATTCATGGCAAAATAGATAAACTACTGCATTATTCACAAAATTCATAAGAAAACATTTCTGATTACCACTGATAGTTGTTTGACCCACTGGGGACTCTCAAGAGTAACGCTGTTTGTTTCGCTCATAAACCAAGAGGTGCGTCTTCACATAACAGGGCCGCTCACATTCAGTTTCATTGAAATCAGATTGTACTCACAATAATCACAGTAGCACTGTGGCTATGAAGAAATTTGCAGGCAGGTTGAGAGTTGATTCATCCAATAAAGATTGTGTACAAACATGTAGCTGTGAGTACTGTACAACTTGGTCCAGAGCACAGATGGTGTAGACTGTTGATGAACTAAACATTTTGACAATTATCCTTTTCCACACGCAGTTTGACAATAGCTCGAACGATAAAAAGACATCTTCGCGAACAGATAACCCAGTTGGCAACAGTCGTCATCGCTCCAAACTAGAAAAACTTAATTTTATTGATGCAAAGTCGGGAGGAAAACATGATAACCAGCGGCCATTTCCTCAGGTTACTTTTGTTTACGAGATGTGAGGATGTGACTGCGAATACTGGTTTGGTCATGCGTATAATTTCCCAACCCGAATCTGAATCTAAATCGTCACGCCCATAACCTCTTCTGTCCAAAAACAAAAACATAGCCTCTAAAATGGCTGCCAGCCTCTGAGCGTTGTTTGACTTGCAACGATATATTTTTGTTTTTCCTAGTTTCGAGCAATGACGACTGTTGCCAACTGGGTTATCTGTTTGCGAAGATGTCTTTTAATCGTTCGAGCTATTGTCAAACTGCGTGTGAAAAAGGGAAGTCAAAAATTTAAATTCAAAACATTCACCAGTTTTGGGCTCAAAGGGGGGCCCCGGGGCACCCCATTTTACAATTTTACCCCCTTTAAAAAGTATAGGACACAAGTTTTTGTCAATTGATGGACCTAGAGGCTTTGTTAAAAGAAAGGGTACATTTTTTAATTAACCCATTAACCATTTTTCGATAGCACAAACTGACTGTCGCAAATTTGTGTTTTAATTTTTCTTACGGAGAGTTTGCACTTTAAATTTCTATAAGCAATTGGAATGATCATTTGTTTAAATGCAAGAAGCGGTCTTCAATTTGGAGTGGAATGAAAAGAAACCAAATGTTAGACTGAAACCAATAGGAAATCTTTCGGAATCCTCCCCCCCCCCCCAAACAAAAAAAAAGAAAAAATATTAAAAAAAATAACAACAAACATGACACCCAAGATTGCTTGTGTTTATTGGACTAAAAGCATAGCGGCAACATACAGCTCTGCAGTTCTTGTAAGGTCGTGTCGCTGCCGGGTGACTTTCTCCGTTTCACTTGGTTGTCCCAGCTTTTGTCGCAGCAACTGCAGGCATCATAAGAGAAAGTGAGAACCAAGACACTCGTGATGGCCCCAAGTGTTTCGCATTCAATTAAACTGCTTAACAAAAAGAATTATTTAATTTGGAAAAGGTACAGAATAGGATACGGTATAAAGGCAGGAAGCGTCCAAAAGAGGAGTATCGTAAATTTTTCGTGCTGAGCGAGAAGAATCGTTACGCTCTCATTTAGGAACGTGGCTCACGTTGAAACGAATGTGACAAAATGTCACTTTCTTTGAGCATTGTGTCACATTCGTTTGAATGTGAATTGGCCAATTTATGACTGATTCACATTGAAATCGACACAATGCTCAAAGGGACGTGACATTTTGTCACATTCGTTTAAACGTGCTTTTACGTTCCTAGAATGAAAGTGTATTGTCACGCTCGACCAACTTTTGGACCGTGTCATGAATGTTTGCACGGCGAAAGCATAATACTTGGGATTCACGGGCCCACCCTGTGGAAAAGCGTCCACCAGCAGCCACCCCGGAATCCCAGGTTACTGCCGTGTGGTAGGCAGAAAGTAATTAGGATCTTTCGGTCAGCACAAACAATTACGATCAAATTAGACACAAATAGTTACGATACTTCCCTTAGAACGCGTCAACAGACCTCCGCCGCTTAGCCTTCATACGGAGGGATCTCATGGAATCTAACTGGGGCGTGAAACATCGTACGCAACCTCCGTTGATGGCAAGGAACGGACGGCAGATAAATAATTGACCACACAGTAAAAACTCCACGAAGAATCACTTCGCAATACGAAGAAAATGAAGGCATTGAAAAATCTACGAAGAAATGCTTCGTATTATGAAGCAAAATCCTTAGTAATACGAAGCATCTTGAAATACGAAGCATTTCTACAACGCCTTCATTTTCTTCGTAGTTATGAAGCGAATGCTTCGTAGGCTTCAAGAGTGCAAGCATGTTCAGTTCTGAAGCGGCACTCACTGGTAAATTGCACCGGCATATCTGCGACCCAGTAGGCAGGCCTGACCCTGAGCATGCCGTAGTCCCCCCCACGGGGACCTCCACCACGTCGTCCGGCCGGTCCTGCCGCCACACGGCGAGCTGCCCGGCCGGTGCTGCACCTCCAGCACCACCTCGCCGGGGGCGAAGTCCTTGTCGCTGCCTGACCAGTGGTCCTGCACAGACAGCTCGCGATGAGATCGAGGGGCGAATGAAAACACAGTAAATGTCTTACGGTGAAAGGCGCACCAACATATTATGGTGGAGATTTTCTCCATAATACCAACGAAATTCGTCCAATCTCTATAAGGTACAGTGAATTCTCAATGGTATGTTACGAAGTCAGCTTCACCACTATAATATGGAACATTTTCACATAATATGGAGAATCTCGCTGTACAACATTTAGAGTGAAGACCACTGTGTCACTGCAAAGCCGGTGATAAGTTTGCTTGAAAATTAGGCAAGCTTTGACCTGAAATCTTCATGAGCTGGGGAGTATTTCTGTGCGAAGCTCGCCAATTAAGGCATTCGAAAACGGCTTGCAATGCAATTTTGTGGCAAGCGAACTTACCACTGGGCCCAAAGCTACAAAGCCGCCTAGATGAGCAATTGTCCAGACTCCTTACCATTTTTAGGGGTTCCGACGAAGGAGGACCCCTATTGCCGGGGCCGCTCAGAATTCTTCTTATACGGACCCCCCAGGATCCACATTTCGGCCCGCCATATTAATCCTTATCATAATACAATAAAAAATCCAGAGAAAATCTAAAAATTTATCGTGGAAAATTCACGTAAACGACCCAAAAATAAATTTGCAACAATCAAGCACCCTATCCGTTCACATTTCAGAAACGTTTCGAAGAAAAAAAGTGCCACTCCTCAAAACTAAACTTCCGCCCATCAAAGTGGACAAAAAACTGATCACTGTTCTAAGAAAATGATAAAAACATGAAGGAAAAAATTCTCGATAAAAAACGTCCCACTGCCATTATACCAACTGTCAAAATTGAAAGCCATATATAAAAAAAACTTAAAACGTGGTTAAAATTACACAATCCCAATTTTCCTCATGTACACTGATAAAAACATTTACACATAATTCAAATCTGTCCGTAGTAAAACTTCACAGCAGAAAGACAGAATAAATAAATTTTCGCAGTTGGCAACAATTTTCCCGGCGTCTGCGCCTTTCGAAAATCGCGAGGCTGAAACAAAAAAAGTAGTGCACATTGAAACTGCCTCTTCAAGTGTGCTGAGTTTGGGTTGTTTGGCTTGCTTTTAAAGGCTGCGGTTCTCTCTCAGCCCAAAATTATAAAATTACTCTTCTTCGTATTTCTAACATCAAATTTCTTTCATTAACTTACATATTTACCACAAACCGGAACAACGTGCAATGCGTAAGCATTGGAATTTTTCTTTCTTGCTCAACCACATAGCAGGGAAAGAGGGGACGCAGTTGAGGGTTACGCGGTGTAATCCCTACTGCACCATAAGAGATCTGAAGTTTTAGGGGGAGTGTAGCCAAAGGGCAAGTTATAAACTCCTCCGCACCTCAAAATTGAAATTTAAAGGAGAACTCAATTTGTTTCACCAAGGGGAAGTCCTGAATTTCGGCGCAACAAAGCCAATGAATTTCAGTCGATTTTCGATGATTATAGTCCAATTTCAAGAATTTTAATGAATTTCAGTGAATTTTACATGTTTGATGAATTTTCGGCTGTGCCACATTTGGCTGGAGTTATTTCCCTTGACCTCCACCGATTTCTGGCCGTTGGAAACTCGCCTGAACGCCGTTGCCTCCAGACGAGTGCGTTGCAGCCCGTGAACGTCTGTAGGCCAGCGGCCGTTGTCACGTCGCCAAAACAGCAACACACTGCTGCACCTC